TCTTCATTACCCATTCAAGCCGTCTCCAGCCATTATTAGTCTCAAAGTGGGTTCCTCGTCATCGAAAAGTCAAGGTATGCTCATGAGCATTTGCGAGTAGCTCATGAGTCACATAATTCGATAGAATAACGTAAGCAACATATTTACCAAGTAATTTACAACTTGTGTGGCAGGATTAATAGTTAGACACTATTCAAAGGGCAATAAAATAGTAAAAATATAAGTAGAAGTAGATGTATACTGTTATGAGCTTTAAGATATTTAGGATAAACAAAAAATATGAAGTCATTTTAGAAGGGAAAAATGGGGGGAGCAATTTAGATTTATTTAATATTTTTTATGGTTGTTACAAGGTCAGTCAATTTGACTGAATGCATATAGAGTTAGGGTAGAAAAAATAACTGATAAAATATAAAGTTTTACTGAAATAAAAAACATTTAAATTTATTTAGGACATTTTAGAGATTATTCAAATGAAATTTGAAAATTTTCAGATGAAGAAAAATATTTTTTATCTTAACATGAAATGCACTTTAGCACTCAAAGTAGTTAACACTCTGACTCAATATAAATTCATGGAGGAATTTTTAGTAAAAATACTTTGTTAAAAAGTCTGATTTTTTGTCAACAAAAGACTTACAATATTTACTGAAAGCTTGTACATTTTATGAAGATACACAAAACATATTACACATTATGATATGGAAGCTCTAAAGGCCAGTTTGGGTCACAAACTTGTTTGAATTAATCAAGCATGTAGCAAGAGAATTAATTGAATAGCAGATATCACTAATTGCCCAGCTCTACTTCTGTATTGAACTCACACTGTACTCCTCGTTATGCATTGGTCATTGAACAAAGATGTGTAGATTGGTTCAGAAATAAAAGTGAGTGTCTTCAGACCACAAAGTATTCTCTAAACAAGTGTTGCTGGTTTCTACTTGAAGCAGAAATTGGAGTAGAAAGTCAATCCATTAAGGTTGCATTGGTCATTAAAATACTGGAAAGTTGTGGAATTTTTCAGTACTGGAAACCCTGGAAAATTATTGGTTTCTATCAAGAGATTCTAGAAAAGTCTTTGAAAGTTTGACTTTCATGTCCTTCCCATGTTTTATTGGTGACAAGCCATACCATTGTGTTTAGCTGTTTCACAAAAAAGGATCTCTTAAAAATATGACTCATAAAATGGGAAATATGTTGACCAGGCAACACTGATCATTAACATGCTTTGAACAGGTGTCAAATGATTATTGTTGGAATGATATTGTTTTGTGGAATATAAGCTCAAGACGTGTTTGGTGTAAATAAAAATCATAAAATTGTTGATTGGATAAAGAACATGGATATTTCAGTAATTTTCCTAATTAAATTTTCAGCATAAACACTTCAGTAACAATTAACAGCCTAAGTTCTTCATCAATTACTGCCTAAAATTTGTTAATAAAAAGAGAGAAAGAAATACAAATCCTAATGGCAACAGTATAATAGAATTAGTGCCATATACCTAACCACCATTATAGACAGCCTTCCAACATATGTACTTGATAAGTCACCCATTATAATAGAATTAGTGCCATATACCTAACCACCATTATAGACAGCCTTCCAACATATGTACTTGATAAGTCACCCATTATTTATACAAAGCTTGAATTTTTTAAGTGACATTTTGGACCACAGTGCTAAATTTTTCAGAACTAAATACAGTATTTTGTCTCTTTGTGTTCTTTTTAGTTTTTCTTTCACTATTAAACCGAATAAAGTGCTTAAATAACTGGTTCATAATATTTTTTGTAATCATCATACTATGTGGTATGACAACACCTTTGAAACAATTATGATTTTAAATATCAATTAATACCCACGATACGATTCAATCAGATCAAAGTTGAAGGAATTAGGTGGACTGTAATGTGGTCTTACGGTTTCCAGTATTCAAAACAGAACCAAAAAAGTGTACTGTGATAAAGGGCTTGGTCTTTTAACCCCAAGAAAAGGAAGTCTTTTTGTCAGTAGTGTTCAGCCAAGAAGTTGCAGAGTTTAAGCAGTTGGCTGGATTATGTTCCTCTTGCCCAAACTAGTAGAATCAGCAAGTAAGGTTCATTGACCCCTCCTTAGTCATCTCTGTTGATAGGACTTGCAAAGAAAATGGCTTTATAGAACAGAAGAACCAAATCTTATATTGAGTATGGATTTTAGTCTGAAAACCAGTGTGAGTTTGGCTATTCTGGTTCAGATTCCAGATATTGAAAGGAATTCAAATCTCTGTTCAGAATTTTTTTTTAAAAAAGGAGAGTACTGTTAAGTTTTTTTTGGAGGGGAATCAACCCACCAAAAATGTCCCCCTGACTCACAGATTGGGTGTTAAATAGTATATGTTATTGTATAAGAAAATTTAAAAGGTGAACACCATGTAGAAATTGTTTTGATTCACAAAGTTTCCAGTTCTTTGTTAGGTGGAATTGCCATAGTAAACTGAGAAAACGCTCAACAATCATGAAATACAATTATGTATGAAAACCACAAGCTCTACAGTAGTGGTAATGTGCATAACAATGTGAAGGTGGTTTTAGTAACAATATGACTTTGCTTTATTGGTGATGTGGTGTATGTTAAGCAACCAATCAGGTGTAAATGTGATCCTATTGGCAAGTTGAAATAATATGTTCAATAAATATTAGTTGGTTTTAGTTACAAGCTGCAGGCAAAGCACAGTATTTGGGAGAAAAAAATGCAAGGCTTATATCACTTGTTATTGGACTGAAGTTGGGCAAAGTTGAAGTATAATTGAAGAATTCATTAGTGCTATATTCAGTAACCTATTTCATAGTGTATTTCTTTGTTTTTGCTCAACTGGACTCCTGCGGCTTATTTACTGTGCACATTGCAATTAGTTTTTTTTATGAAATATAATAAACTATTAGTTTACTGTTAAAATCAGTAAATTAGATCCTAGAAAATGTCAAGTTGGTCCTTGAAAAGGTACTGGAAAGTCCTGGAAATTTTTTTAAATTAGCCTGCATGAACCATCTATGTGCATTTTTTAGCAACAGTTTAAAGATGAACTGTAACCTATACAAAAACAGTCTTTACATCTCACTCTAAGTAACAGTTTAAAAGTGATCTGTAACCTATAGGAATACAATCTTGGGTAACTTACTCTTAGCAACAGTTTAAAGTTGATCTGTAACCTATAGGAATACAATCTGGGTAACTTACTCTTAGCAACAGTTCAAAGTTGATCTGTAACCTATAGGAATACAATCTGGGTAACTTACTCTTTGCAACAGTTCAAAGGTGATCTGTAACCTATAGGAATACAGTTGTTGTGTCTTACTCTTAGCAATAGTTTTAAGTGATCTGCAGTCTTGTTCACAACAACAGTTCAAGAGTAATCTATAGGAATGTAGTCTAGTGCCTTACTGCTAGCAAAAGTTCAGTGGTGGTTTGTAAGCTATAGGAAGTTAGTCTTAATGTCCTGTTCACAGCAACAGTTCATTGGTGATCTGTAACCTAAGCAACAGTCCAAGTGATTATTAATTCTGGAACTGGAATAACCTTTCCCATCATCTATTTAATACTTTATCTACTAAAATTTCTACCTTTCTGATGTTTATTTTTAAGCTATAAAGGTTAGAATAGGCCAACTAACTAAATAATGATTTTGTACTAAATCATTTCGCATGATTTAGTTTGAAGTAGAGAAGTTTGAGTTGAAACTTAAATATATTTTTATTTTATTTTCTTTTTGTTTCTAGATTAGAAATGAGAAGTTTGAGTGAGAACCAGAAGTCTTCACTTTTTTATTTAAGTGTAGAAGATGAAAACTTTGCTTTTGACTTGGTTCAAGAGCTAGTTAGGTCTTTCTTAGCAGCTGAAGACACCAGAATACAAGTGAGTGGTTATTTTATGTTGAAATGTGTCTGCAGAAAACTAAATCATGATTATATGGAATATCATTCGTTGATTAATGTACTACTGATTTTATTTCACACTGGCATCCTCATGAGAAATGGTTGGAATAATTAGATTGTCGATACATAATTTGCACAGACTTTTTATATTTATTAAAGTATTTTTCTAGTTTAAGTTTATTTATATTTAAATTTTTCCTTTTGTTAAACTTAAGCATTTATTTTTATAAAATTATTTAAAAATATCATATATTATCTATGAAGCTCGTCAGTTTTTTATTTCACTATAAATCAGATATTCAAGACAAATTGTGGGTCACAGTAATCACCAAATATAATGTGAGACATAATAATTGGTTTACAATACCCAGTGTGCTTGCTTACCCAACAAGTAGTGTGTAACAAGATGTTCTGAAATATGAGCAAGCGTGTTTTGAACCTCCTGTGTTCATCAAAGTATAGATACAAATGGGCCAAGAAGTTCAATGCTACAAAACATAAGTCAGTTTGTAAGGTGTGCAACAAAATCTTGGACTTAGGAATGATGGCAGAACATGCTTTGAAATCACATATGTAGTCAAAAACATTTAAATTTTTCAAATACTGCATACAATTTGGGATTCTATTTATGCTTTGAATAAAAAGCAGATTGTGGCAATCATAACTCACACTGGAGCCCACTATAAATAGAGGAATTTTTAAATCCTCTTGAGGTAAACAGAATAATTAACTATCAACAAAAGCATTTGGATCAAATTTTGCAACTTCAGTAACAACATTGCTAGACTTGATGAGCTTCTATCAACCTACATGAAAACTAATAAAAGACCTCCAAGCTACATGAAGTTGTAAAGGTGTGCTTGTGTTATGCATGGTCAGGCACCAGTAGAAATTAAAAGCTAACAGACTTAATGGCAAAAAAAGTTGGGTGTGACCATTTTACATCAAGGGGAGGAGATCTCAGTGTTGACATTACAGATCCATTACTGTCAGTATGAACTTCACCTTCAGAAACAAAGACTAAAAAGAAAACATTAAGACTTGTTCAGGACATAGAATCCCATACAAAACCAACGGATCAGTTTTCTGAGAGGGCAAAAAGTACTGAAATCTCACCTTTGTTTCTAACTGAAATGTATTTAGAAAAGAGAGCAGCTAGAAAAATGAAGGAATTTCTTCTCTGTAACAGTGTTAACCTATATCTGCATAATTGCTAGGACTAACAATAAGCTTTTATAGCTCACTCATCGCTTACAAATAGAGACTTAATGTGTTAAAATAAAGGTCTGTGCAGACTGAGAAGTTTTGTATCCTTGTGCTCTGGAGTATCTGTTAATAAAGTGGCAAGATTGCTTCAGAGTTTTCACTGTTGTGAATGAAAGACCTGTTGAGCCTCATATATTTGTGGATAATGAATAATACATAAAGCAGTATTGGACACACTTGAAATTATTAGGGTTGCAAACAAGAGTGCCAATGTCCAAAGGTTGTAACACGAGATAATTAATATTTAGGAAACATTTTTGGTATACATAGAAATCTAAAACAGTACTGTCTAACTAGTACATGTTAATTGTATATTTAATAAACATACTATAAGACATTTTAAGGTCCAACAAAATTATTTGGGTGTGACATGGTCACACCTGATACTTTAGGTATTTCACAGTAAACACAGCCGTACATGATACTTTAAATATTTCACAGTAAATACAGTCATACATGATACTTTAAATATTTCACAGTAAACATAGCCACACATGATACTTTAAATATTTCACAGTAAACACAGCCGTACATGATACTTTAAATATTTCACAGTAAACACAGCCATACATGATACTTTAAATCTTTCACAGTAAACATAGGCACACATGATACTTTAAATCTTTCACAGTAAACATAGCCACACATGATACTTTAAATCTTTCACAGTAAACATAGCCACACATGATACTTTAAATCTTTCACAGTAAACATAGCCACACATGATACTTTAAATATTTCACAGTAAACACAGCCATACATGATACTTTAGGTCTTTCACAGTAGACATGGTCACACATGATACTTTAAATCTTTCACAGTAAACACAGCCATACATGATACTTTAGGTCTTTCACAGTAGACATGGTCACACATGATACTTTAAATATTTCACAGTAAACACAGCCATACATGATACTTTAAATATTTCACAGTAAACATAGCCACACATGATACTTTAAATATTTCACAGTAAACACAGCCGTACATGATACTTTAAATCTTTCACAGTAAACATAGCCACACATGATACTTTATACTTTAGGTCTTTCACAGTAGACATGGTCACACATGATACTTTAAATCTTTCACAGTAAACATAGCCACACATGATACTTCAGGTCTTTCACAGTAGAAATGGTCACACATGATACTTTAGGTATTTCACAGTAAACACAGCCGTACATGATACTTTAAATATTTCACAGTAAACACAGCCGTACATGATACTTTAAATCTTTCACAGTAAACATAGCCACACATGATACTTTAGGTATTTCACAGTAGACATGGTCACACATGATACTTTAGGTCTTTCACAGTAGACATGGTCACACATGATACTTTAAATCTTTCACAGTAAACATAGCCACACATGATACTTTAGGTATTTCACAGTAGACATGGCCACACATGATACTTCAGGTATTTCTTACTTTCCATGAATCATTTTTTAATTTGTTCTTTTTATTTTTTTCACTTCCTAAAGTTTTTTTTCTCTTTCAGGGAACTGAGGTTTTTAATGCTGTGTTTATGACTGTTTCCTTGTGGAAAGTACACATGTAGTTTTTTTTTTTCAGGACTGTGCATCCTATGCACTGCAGGAAACCTTACAGATCTATACTTGTCAAAGTGGAGATTCATCAGAAATGATGAGGCCAAGTGGTAGTCTATGGAACAGGTTTTCAGAGGAGGTTCAAGAAATTGTGGCACCTCTGCAACATTCTAGGTATGGATTTTATTTTTTATTATAATGAAATTTAGACATTGATTTTGAATAGCTTTATTTTATTTTATTTTTTGCTATATGGTTATTCATTGTGTTATTATGTCTTTTTTTTATCTTTACTGTGCTTGAAAACACTATGATTCAGCATTGTTTTAGCATATTTTAAACATTAAGTACTCCCTTTTTGTATTTATTAGTAACATAACCATTTCACATGAACTTCCAGTTATTTGATTATCTACATTGAAGTTGTTCTGCTTGTTTAATAAAGGTTGAAAAAACCTTATATCAAACTAGCTGTGATTATTGGACAGGTACATTATGTCTAGTAACAAGAGGACTTCCTTTCCATGCCCAATATATGGGAGCAAACTAGGAAGCACATTTAAAGATTGGGCCTGTAATTGGGCATGCTGTCTACTCCAGAAGGTAAGAAACATTTTCGTAAAATTAGATAATTAGGTCGCTTGTCAATGTTATTGAAAGAGGTGATTATTATATTAATTAAAACTGTAAATAACTAGAGACCAGACTGTATTGATGAAAATATTACTGAAACTGTGGCACTTGACAGTTCAGCTAAACACATTTGTTCACACAATTCTTGTAAATCTGAGTTTGAATTCAGGAGAATTTTAATTTCAACTATTAAGTAATGTGCACACAATTTTAGCCCATGAGGAGCAAAGTATTGAAACTTAGTCTACAAATATGTTTAGTTAATGTCAGAAGATAAAGCTGATATATACATTATGAAATTTCTTTTGTTGAGCATGAAGATAGATAATTGTAGTATTAAAATCAAACTTTATAGAAACTACCACATTACATGTTTAATTCTCTCATTTTTGTCTTTGTGTATGATAATTTTTTATTTCAAATGGAAAGAAAGTGAAAGAGTACAGTATTTAAATTTTTTTATCAAATTGCTTCTTGCAACAGATTTTGTCATTGAAAAAACAACCAAAAGAATTTCAATTTAAATATAGCTTTTCTTTGCCCATTAGCATGTTTTTAAATATTCAGGCAAGTTAATGATCTTATGTCTTTAATTTTATAAAACTTGTATGTTTTTGTGTATATAATTTTTCAGATAAAGCAGGAGAAAACAGTTAGAGTTTTTCATTCCTGTTTTATGATTGTTAAAAATGATGTGAAAACAGCAGTTTTTCTTCTTCCTCATATAATGGTTAATGCTTTACAAGATGCAAGCAAGGAAGAAAAGGAAGAGGTTTGTTTTTTAAAATAATTCAGAAGGTATAGAAATAAATGTACATTATTGTGTAAATTCTTTATATTAACTTACTCCAATGAAGTAAAGAATAGAATACAACTGATAGTCTGTGAGTGTTAAAGGCAGGGATGAGAATTGATCACCATTTGGCAGATTTCTCCAATTTCTGTTATCAGATTGGCCAGTCATTCCACTCGTTCAGATCTGGTAAGAAAAATTTTTTAAGGAATAAGGAAGCAGGGACCAGAGAGAAAATACCAGTACTAGTAGGCTCAGTGCAATACTGCCTTATCTGCTTTGATGTTTATGCCAAACAGAAAACATTCTGAATTGGTTAGCTATCCATCAATCAGCCAAAGGTATCCTGATCCCTGGAAAATTCATAAACATTTTACTTAACTTTAGTTTTTTCAGTCATTTTTTAGGATGTGAATTTTATTGTGAGACACTATTTACAAAATAAAATTAAAGGTACTTCTTTTCATCAAAAATTTTCTTTCTTTCTTATTGTTGATTAGGAAGTCCCATCTTACATACCCAGTCAGTTTCAACTTGATTCAGATTAACATATTTCTTTTGATACTCTATTTTGCCAATTACAGTTGCCACTACCAATGGCTATAGATGTCTATATATATCATGAAAAACATGGACAAAACTGTCCAAGATATATCAGTAACCTAGGGCCTGATCTTTCAAATTAGTGTCAACATTACATTTGTTGGTCTAGATCACAATATTTTTGCTAGCAATATTCTTGGTCAGTATGAATTTATATCTAATATATATTGTTGTTTTTTTTCAGTAAATAATAAATTATTTATGTGATTTGTTTGAGTACTATAAACTTAACAATAACATTCAAAAAGTAAAGGTTTGAGTCATCAGAATAATTTGTCTACTATACTTGCTTTAGTTAGCTTATGTACACTGAAGTCTTGTCATAGCTTTTAACAACTATAACGTAACATGAGAAACGTGAATGTCAAAATAAACTTTACACTACTTTTATTTGCTGTTTACACCAAATAAATGTTACTAAATGAAAAATATCAGTTGGACAGTATTTTTGAGTTACAGATTGTTGAAATAGAGTTAATAATATTATTTTTACTTCAATTTGATATTAAGGTGTGCACTCTACAACTGAAAGGTACTGTTTGGTTCAGATTGTGTTAAGTAACACTGTTTAGTATAACAGTTAAAGAGATTGATTGGGATAAATTTAGAAATTAGATATTTGTAAAATAATTATACAGAAAGTTTAGTTATTTCAACAAATATTTTGAGAAATATGTACACTGCACAAAAGGAGGATAATTGAAATGTGTAACATTATTGTTATGAAAAAATAAAACCACTATTATAAAATAACGGCATCCGTACTTTTTGTTTAGTGTTGGGTAAATCATCCAAGTTCAGGCATGTAGTTTGAAGCATAAATAATTGGTTATTCAACCTATGCCAAATATAGTAGTCTCACACAATCTTGTCTAACTTTGAAGTGAATCTCATAGCTGTAGATACTCTAGATTGTTTGTGAAACAAGGCTAGATCTCAAAGGAAATGTTTGGATGTGAAGAGCTACTGGATCAATGGAAGTAAGACAGTTACAGCAGTGTATTGCAATTTGGCTACAATTATCTGAAAATGTCATTACCAGAATATAGCACAGTTTCTATACCAGTTGTTCAGATGTTTGAACACCTTGTACAAAATCTAATCATCCACAACATAAGCAAATGAACAATATATACTTTTATTATGGCTTTCCTCAACCATAAAACAACTGCTTCTCGACTGAATCAAATGTTTGTAGTTCTGATTTTAACACTGTGTCAGTATACAGATGGTTATAAAAACCTGCTTCTGGAGTGAGTCAAATGTCTGTAGTTCTGATTTGGGTTAACTCTCTCTATACAGGCTCAGTCGATTTGATTGACCATGTGACCTCTTTGTACTCAGTTGAAGTCCTTGTAGATTTGATACTACTAACTTTTAATATAGTGTGTATATCTTCATGAAATTTGGCAGTCTTTCAGTAAACATTATAAGTCTTTCAAATACAAAAATATCATATTTTTAATGAAGTATTTTTAATATACCATAAAATGAGTCTGTAATATATCGAGTATTTCAACACTATTTATTTTGAAAAGTCTGTGTGCAAGGTGATTTTCATGTGAAGATTATAAATACTTCATCACAAAAATCTCAAATTTCATTTGTTTTATATGTTAAAATACATCCTATATACATTTCAAATGTTTGTTTTCATAAAACTTTATATTTTATCTGTTATTTTCTCTACCCTAACTTGTTACGAGGTCAGTCAATTTGACCGACCTCGTAACCACCAAAAAAAAATTGGTATAAATCTAAATTACCCTATTTTTCTTTTTGTAACATGAAATTGTAACATGAAACTACATTTGTTTATCTTACGTAGCTTTAAATTTGACACAGTATACATCTATTTATACTTAAGTTTTATTTTATTGCCCTTCGAACTACGTCTAACTACTATTCACACTATTATAAGTTGTAAATCACTCAAGGAATGTGCAGCTCACGTTATTATATTGAATTACGTTAACCAAGAGCTGCTCACATGCGTGTCTCATTAAACATTTTTATTATATTATTATCATTATTTATTTTACCTGATCTAACTTTAACTAACCTAAAGAGATCCCTGTTTTTACCTTTTGGTAACTTATAATAAAGAATAAACATGCAAAACAAGAAATTAACTATATACCCAAGTATTCTTCTTTTTTTTTTTTTGCTGTCAACTGTCAATGACACTTAACCCTACTTCTTTTATACTAATGGTAGCAATGCACTAAATAATTTCGATTTAATTAAATAATGCACCAAAGAACATAGAGTAATAACATGCAATAAGAGCCGTTACAAATTCATCCAAGCTAGTCATTATTTTCCCCATGGAAAAGAAGCTTGTACTAACAGAAAAATTGACATCTCTATGTTTAGAAAACAACATGTTGTAATACATCATTTGATAGATGTAAACTTTGGCTTTCTATTGGCTATAGATAATACAGAATTAAACATAAGAGAGAGATATTAAAAAATCCTAAAAGAGAGGATGTGACAGATGGGTGAGGCAAGAAGGTTCTGATTTTCTATTTGATAGTTCTGTAACCAAACAAAATTGAAGGTTATAAAAATTATGATTTGGCTGAGCAATTATGATTTCATAGCGAGTAATTTATTTTCAATTTTGTACTTATTGAAGGGGTGGTGAATAAAATATAGAAGAGGAGATGCCTAGAAAAAGGGTGTCACACTAGGGGAAATTCAGGATTTTTTTAAATATTACCTTATAAAACTAAGAACCTAAAACTTATAAATTATTAAAATATGGGTTATCAGCTAAGATTTTATGCTATACTAATTGGTATAACATAAATAAAGAGTAATTTAATATAATTTTGAATGTAAGTCACTCAAACATCCTGACGTGCAGAGTAAATGATGCCCGGGCAGATAGGTTAAAAAAAAACTGTGTCTAGGCTAGGTGAAGTCTCTGTAGTTCTGTTTGGACACTATATCAGTATACAGATGGTTAGAAAGACCTGCTTCTAGACTGTGTCAAATGTCTGTAGTTTTGATTTGACACTATGTCAGTATACAGATGGTTAGAAAAAACTACTTCTAAACTGTATCAAATGTCTGTAGTTGTGATTTGACACTATGTCAGTATACAGATGGTTAGAAAAAACTACTTCTAAACTGTATCAAATGTCTGTAGTTGTGATTTGGACACTATGCCTGTATACAGATGATTAATAAAACTGTCTAGGCTGAGTCAGTTATCTGTAGTTCTGTTTGAAAACTGCCAGTATACAGATGGTTAGAAAAACCTGCTTCTAGGCTGAGTCAAATGTCTGTGGTTGTGAATTGGACTCTATGTCAGTATACAGATGGTTAGAAAAATCTGCTTCCAGACTGTGTCAGATGTTTGTAGTTGGGATTTGGACATTATGTCAGTATACAGATTGCTAAAAAAAAGAGACTGCACAAGGCTAGCTTGTATGCCACACATCTACTAAGGTGCATTCTGGTCACAATGAAATGACTTGCTTGAAGATGTTGTGCCAAGAACATACCCAGTGGACCAACAACATAAAAGAGTAATGTTCTTCTTACAAATATGCCATGCTTCACCCTACAACCAGATAATAGCCATGTACTGATTTGATGAGAATCTGTGAGCTAGATTAAACACCATATTCATACAGGAACATTATACGTATGGTTGTGATGAAAGTATGGTGTAGGCAGTAATAAGCATTGGTAGACTTGCTGTTACATCCTGCTGAAAAGTACCATTAATATCCTGTGTGCTACCATGTACTAATGCTGTAGGCATTGACTTTAGCCTTAGCATTGACTTTTTAATGGATTATAACTCTCTTCCCAATGTGACAAAGTGGTCAACACATTTTCTTTAAAAAAAGGGGATTGACTGAAGGATGTGACCTGCACCAGACTTCAAACCATTTATTCATGCATGAGATACTCTTGAGAGGTTCATCACATCCTATGAAATAATTAAAAATACTAAAAATTCTTTGAAAGTAGATGTTTTTAGAGGAGTGATTAATGATGCCTCAGAAAGAACCTTATCAACATTCTTATTTCAAGCATTCAGCATCAGTGCTGTGCTGGTGACTGTACTCCATATTGAATTGGAATGCCCAAAATTGTGGAGATGTGAAGCTTCTCATAACAGTTATCCATTTATAAGAATAGGCTGAGTAACCAATCATTTGCACTTCAGATGCCTGATTTGTATTAAATGAACTGAAGGAGTGAACTGCATAATTTTTTCACAGTAGGTTTTGCCTTATCATAGATATTATATATTCTAAGTATCCATCAAATATTTTGCTGCATATTTTAATGGTAGAATATTTAAAAGCAAACAGTGTTATATGAAATAATTTTTTAAGGTTGGTAATGAGGGTAGCTTTTAATTTCATTAAAATTCTGAATTAATATCTATTGCTATTACAAGTGCAAAATATTAATTTTTGTGGATTTGGGTCTATAGATTTATAAAGAGATTATGGCTGTTCTAAGCCATGTTGACCAAGCTGAACAGAGCAGTTTTAAGTTTGATGAGAAGACTGATCTTTGCCACTTGAGTGCCCAAACTGTATTTTCAGTATTGGATTGTTTGACAGTTTGGTGTCGTCAGTATTTTGTGACGTTGAGATCTAGTAACCAGAATAACTCCAAGCATGCTAATAAAGGGAAAGGTAATTAGAATACTCATTAATCAATCTTGAAGTTACACATAACTTAAACTACTGACATTTTATATTCTGTTTTTCTTTGAGAAGTTAAAGACTATAAATATTAGAGAACAATTAAAATAACTTTTTTAAATGTTTGTGCTTGTCAATGATTAACTGTTTTTATTATGTTGTTTAGACACTATTGAAGACACCTGTTTAAAGATCTTAAAATTGCCACTTTGCTGGGAAACAAGTAATGATCTAATTCCAAATTTTGAAGCAAACCAGCATAAATATTTTCTTACATAGGAATAATTATATATACTACAAGGTTGTGAACTGCAGAGATCAGTGATGGTAATGAATTTTGAGTAACAAATTTTCTACAATGTTTTTGAGAAAAAATTAATTTTATTATTAATCTAGCCTGGATTTCTAGAACTGTTAATATTGTAAGCATTTTGTGTTAAAACTTGGCAGCCAAACTTTTTAGGATAATTTTGGTGTGTTGAATTCAGAAAAACTGTAAATTAAACTTTGTTTTGAGTTTTGGCCCTCAAATTTCAAAAAGAAAATGTAGTTGTATGTCATGTTTTTCACTTTTATTAACAGGAAACCTTTGTTTGTGGCCAGTCATTGCTGGTTTCAAACTAGGACTTGGAGGGTTGTAATGTGTTATAGTTAAATATTATTAATTATGTAAATTTGTGGTAAAAGTGTATAAAAAGATAAGATAAATAGGATAATTCAAAGTTTGCAACAATTTTTACTGCATAGTAAATTATTTGAATAAAACTAAATAGTTGCCAACTTTTCCTTGAAGATAGACATTCAGCTGATGGCAGAACTTCTACAGTGAATTCCTTCACAATTTCTCAGTACCTGTGCCACAACCCCTTTAGCACTATATATCACCATACTCCACGAAATGCTTCAGTTCATTGTAATGCCAAATCATTCCAACATCAGTAGTTTGGGAGCCATCTTTGGTTTGTTTTTTGTTGTTCTAATAAGCTTACAAGGTCTTCTGAGGTTATTTACATGAGCAACATGTACTCTAATAGTTTATTCAAACTTTGTAGCTTCCAATATCTGTTTTCTCATGTTGTAACTGAGGTCAACTTCTGTTTCGAACTTTATCATTAAAAGAATAGATATAATTCCCAATTATTGGGCTATGACCAGTTTTTTTTTACCTGAAGAAGGTTGTTGGGGTTTTATTATTGACAAAAAAGCCATAATTACGCATTTTTGCAGAGTGACATGATTTTATTGGACCTGATGGAAGTTTTTATGATTCTGTTCTTGACCGAATAAACATGATTCTCAGTTATTGACTTGTGACCTTCTACAAGGACCTGATGGTGGCTCTTGTGGTTCTGTTTTTGACAGAATAGACACGATTCTCAGTTGTTGAACTATGACCTGCTACAAGGACCTGATGATGGCTGTTGTACATCTGTTCTTCATATTCACTTTGATGGGAAGCCAGAATTCTAAATTGATATAAACAATTAATGAAAAATCATTAAAATTACTTAAGAAAAAAGTATCATTATTTCTGTAAAATTTTAGAGTTGAATATATTTATTAGTTAGTACTGGTACTACCTCTCATCAGCAAACCTCTTTTTATGGTCCCTTAGTTCTGGTTAGTTATGTTTTCTATCTTCACTTTTCAAGGGTAGAGCTGTACTCTAGTGTTGAGCTGCAATACTACTGTATTACTCCTTTGTTGATAATAGTTGTAAATGAAGGCTGTTATTTATTTATTTGTGGATGTAACTGGTAACTTACAGCTTATTTTGTAACTAATAAAAGGAAAATCTCTGTGTCTTAGGGAGTTCTATTACATAAGAGAACTTTTATATATGTACACGTACACACACATTTATATGTGCAAGATTGTCCAGTCAATTTTAAGTAAGCATTATGTTACTTTGATATGTTTACTGCATTCTGTAAAGTACCTACTCACTGCATGATTATATTCATTTTAAATAGATCGGAAAAGTTTACTAATGCATTAATAGTAACTTAAAAGAAAACTTTCCCAGAAAGAAGTATAATGTGATCATTTATGCTGTGTGGATGTTTCATTATATGATACTTTCATGGTATTTATTTATTTCCTTGTTTATTGTGACCACAGTGAAGTGTAATAGTAGTTAATTGATTTAGATCATCTTTTACAAAATACACTTACCCCACCTAAATAAGTGAGTGTCCCTCCATATACAAATTACACTTACCCCACCTAAATAAGTGGATGTACCTACACATACAAATTACTCTTACCCCACCTAAATAAGTGGATGTTCCTGCACATACAAATTACACTTACTCTACCTAAATAAGTGAATGTCCCTGCATATACAAAATACTCTTACTCTACCTAAATAAGTGGATGTCCCTGCATATACAAAATACATTTACCCCACCTAAATAAGTGGATGTCCCTCCATATACAAATTACACTTACCCCACCTAAATAAGTGGATGTCCCTGCACATACAAATTACACTTACCCCACCTAAATAAGTGGATGTCCCTGCACATACAAAATACTCTTACCCTACCTAAATAAGTGAATATCCCTATATATATATAGAAGATACACTTACACCACCTAAATAAGTGGATGTCCCTGCATATACAAAATACTGTTACCCACCTAAATAAGTGGTTGTCCCTACATAATGAATATATTGCTGCTGGTTCTGTACATTCTTTTTTTACTGCATTTTATTATAGTGGCTTCATAGCATTCAACAATGTATGCTGAATTGGCCAGAAAAGTTTTAAATAATTTTTGTTTAGTTGTGTAAAATATATTTTTAATACCTAATCTTTTATATTATTAAAATTTTACCCTGGTAGCTTATCAGTAAGTCTAAAGGCTTTTAATACTTATAATCTGGTTTTGATATCCACAGTGGGCAGAACACAGATAGACCACTGTGTAACAACAAACAAATTAATTATTAATGTTAATTACATAAGACAAAGTACTTTAGTGAATTAGCATTAGTTTCTCTTAAACCTTTGCAAGCAGATGTTTAAACAACTAAGAAAGTTTCTAGTTGAATTAAACAACTACTCTGATACTTTTTTGGGTAGTAGTTGTAATTAATAGTGTGTTGTAGTAATAATAAATGAAGAATTGCTTGTAATTACTGAAAGTGCACCTTAAAACAATACAACTAATATGTGCATTAGTTGTAATGATAATAACAAAAGAGCTACTACCCCAACATAATACATTTCAGTATTAAGAATATGTTTATTGAAAAATTAAGTATTATGCACAACCACATAATTATTTCTAAATATATACATATACATCTTTCAACTCTTAAAATAATCAGAAATTTTGATAATAAGGAACCCAAGATCAACATAACACTAAAATAGGTGTGTCGACTTGATCACCTGTATATTCATAGCTCTTGCATAGATTGAATATGCTAACTACACTTAATCCATAATAAATATTTTACGTGTCATGATAATGTCTAAATTTTCCTAACACATGAACTTACAAGGTTTTTATTTCTCTAGTGGACCCACATATTGATCCCAACTATAAGTCTGTGTATGACTTCCTGAAGAGTGTTCCAGAAGATCTTTTAGCCCGTGCCTCCTTCATTTGTCAAGCTTATGCTCGGGCTTTAATGTATTTAGAATTATCGATCAAGAATAACCCAGAGTCATCACAGCTACAATTGGCTTTTTTGCAGGTAAGGAATTTTCAAATGATATTTCCATACCTTTTAGTATTATATAATAAAATGTTAATAAATTAAAATACTGTTGAGGTTACATCGCATGCCAGAATATTCTGTTTGGTTTTAGTGTTGTCTTGATATGTGGTTTTGTAATAGAGGTTACATCGCATGCCAGAATATTCTTTTTGGTTTTAGTGTTGTCTTGATATTTGGTTTTGTAATAGAGGTTACATTGCATGCCAGGATATTCTGTTTGGTTTTAGTGTTGTCTTGATATTTGGTTTTGTAATATGTATTTTGCTTCAAATGAAGAAATAGTAGTTTAAGGAAAAAACAGATACCAATAATTTTGCAGTATACATGTGAAGAACAAAAACCTTGCTATGTGAAGTTGCATTATACATGTGAAGAACAAAAACCTTGCTATGTGAAGTTGCATTATACATGTGAAGAACAGAAACCTTGTTATGTGAAGTTGCTATATACATGTGAAGAACAGAAACCTTGTTATGTAAAGTTTCAATATACGTGTGAAGAACAAAAACCTTGTCATGTAAAGTTGCAACATATATGTGAAGAACAAAACCTTGTTTTGTAAAGTTGAAATATACGTGTGAAGAACAAAAACCTTGTTATGTAAAGTTGCAATCTACATGTGATGAACAGAAACCTTGTTATGTGTATTTGCAATATACGTGTGATGAACAGAAACCTAAATGAGAAATGTTTACATGTGTAAATGCTTGGTGAGACCAATAACTTTGCTTAACATATTCAAAGGCCATAGCAGAACATTTTCCTTACCAGCTGGCCAAAGTGTTGATTCAAAAAGTTATTGCTTTCTGCAACAAAGAATGTCAGAGTAACTTTATCAGCATCTTAGAACGGCCCATCTCAAACCATTGTGTTGATGTCTTTAGAACTGCTTGGCAGAGTTGAGAAGATTAGGCCACATCCTCACCATCAACAATGGTGGTGACACCCGTCATAACCAAACATAGAATATGCCTTGTAGAATAGCAGAAGTTATTCATGCCAACAGCATTGTTACACTGTATTTATGAATCATGATTAATAGAAATCCACTTCAATAACTGCGTATGGGTATACTTCTGGCAAGGCACTGTGTATACATGTCTTGACATACTATAATGTCATGTATAATATAGTGGGTGATAGCATTGTTACACTGTATTTATGAGTCATGATTAATAGAAATCCACTTTAATAACTGTGTATGGGTATACTTCTGGCAAGGCACTGTGTATACAAGTCTTGACATACTATAATGTCATGTATAATATAGTGGGTGATAGCATTGTTACACTGTATTTATGAATCATGATTAATAGAAATCCACTTCAATAACTGCGTATGGGTATACTTCTGGCAAGGCACTGTGTATACATGTCTTGACATACTATAATGTCATGTATAATATGATTCAGGATTCCATTGACAAACAAAACATTCAAAAATGTAGAATTACAAGAAAATAATTGTTAAAGATATCGATTGGGGTGTAATGGGCCTACCCTTATCAGTATCATTGAGGTTATTCAAGGTCATGCCCTTTGAAACTTTTATTAATGTGCATCATAAACCAGAATGTCAATTGTAAGATGCAACCAACAACAAGTGAAATATTTTAAACCAAAAATTGCTCCACAAAAACAACAGTTATAAGAATAAATGCAGATGAGGTAAGCATCCTAACAGTATAATAAAACAGTGGCAAAAATCAATAACTGTATTTAAAGTGCTATCCATATTTGACAAATGCAGATATGGTGGCTCTAATACACGGTGTCTATGCATAAATGAGTCTCCAGCATGCACTTAAAGGGTGATATGCATCTGGGTACCATTTAGTATACAAAATGGTGGCACTGCCTAGAAATCTGATGACACTCTCCATACAGTTTCACTATGTTAAACTGCTATTCAACTGAAAAATATGCCATCTCTTAGATCATTTTTTCGAACTTTAAATAGTGGCAATGCCTAACTCAGCAAATTTTCTGTTGTGCCACCTCCTCCTTCACATCAAGATAATTTTCACAAGCAATAACAGCAAAATCAACATTTTCTTTACCTGTTTTTAATAATTTTTTTAAATTAAAAAATGCTTGTAAGGAGTGAGTAAATGCGAGAGCCAAAAAAAGCTTTGAGAGCAAAGTGATAGTTTTGTTAGGTTATCATTGTCTCCAATTCTTCTGTTTTTTTCCATCATTATTTTTGGGTTCTCTCACCAAAGTGCTGTAACCCCCCACCCCCACGGCGGTGCACCACATACTTTGGAAAACATGGTTTAGGTAATTTGGGAGCAGCTGCTGCACAATGCTTGTGTGCTGTTTATGTAGAAATACCAGTACCACAAAAGAAAACAGTGTATATATAAAAAAGTTCTAGTTATCTAAACAGAGATCAAGAATAGGTTAAAATTTCAGGAACTTGTGTAAATATTTAAGATATATTAAAATACTCAAATGATCAACATTGTATAATACACAATCAACATTTTTATTTATAAACCGATCAGTGGTTGTAAAAGACACTACATGTTTCAGTGCTGTTTCTGAGGATGCAGTGAATGGTGTTGAAACATGTTGAGTGTCTTTTACAACCGTTGACTGGTTATTAAATACAAAGTTTAATTGTGTATTGTATAATGTTGATCGTTTGAGTATTTTAATATATCTTAGAAATCAGGAACAATGTAAAACCAACAATGACATACCCAAGTGCAAACTGTGATTCGGACAGTTCAGCATATAATTTGGTAGTGGCCCAGGCATTTTGATGACACCTTCCACAAAGGAGGACAATGTTTAAGTGATCTGGGAAAAGCTGCAGCACAGTGCTTGTGTTCTACCTTAAATAGGGGCTTTTATTTTCATACTTTTTAATATTTAGGACCCATCAATGGTGTAATAACCTAATTATGCAAAATTCTGGGCATTAATCTCAAACCTAGGTTTATGCTCAGATTTTGGTCTTCTGTAGCACAGTTCTATATGCATATACATATATAACTGTTGTTTTCAAAGAATGTTTTGGTAATATTCACATTAAAATATTCAGTTTGTTACTGACTGTCTACACCTTTCCTCTTGATAATTTGGTTGTTTGATTTATATTAACAAAATTTCCAATTGTCACAGGGTAGACTCCAGTATACCTCATTCCATACCACTAATGTGTATTTTTCTGTACTACTTTAATTATTTGCCTGTTAATGGACTTCAGGATCACTCTGTATAAGAATAAGACATCTATGAATATTGAGTATTGAAAAGTAAGAAAGTTTTTACATGTAGAATGAATGCATTTTTTTACTGCTGTTTGTTCATTTTTTGATCAGTATACATCTATTTTTTCATGTCTTAGAAACTGTACATACTGCTTGATGAACCAGATGGAGTGGCAGGAGTAGCAGCATCTCGCCAAGAAGACCCCACACTTCATGATCTGATTCTAGGTCATGAAGCAACTGGTATGTAAGAGTAAATACCTTATTTATGTAACCGTTAATCTTTATTTGATTTTTAGATCAAGTTTGCAAAGTCTTATTTATACCTGTATATAATTTTAAAATCGGCTTCATATTTTTAAAATTTTGAGTCATTCTACTTTTATTACTTTATATTTCAGACTTCGTGCTATTTTTAATATTCTTTGATTGATATTAACTCAGACAATTTGGCCGAGCTTGTAACCAACATGTAACAGGTTTTCAAGTTTAACATGCGCCATCTCACTGATACTCATAAGTGCCCTTTAAAATGGGTTTTGTAAGGGCTTATCAAGTCTGTCATGATGCTCACTGTTCACACAATCAGTGTTTTTTTACACAGGACAAGCTCACAGATAGTTTCGTGTGACCCTGTTGACTGCTACGACTCTAGTACTTTTAATTGGCTTAAACTAATGTTACATGCACAGTAATACAGTATTTTCGAACTGTATTGTTGTATTATATAAACATCTAATATATGTAACTGAGAAATTAAGTCATTGTGTTTTGCCTCAACTCTGGGATTCACCCTTCATGTAGCATCTTTCCTTGCCTGTACCATTTGACCTTCCCATCCTTCTGATCCTCTCCTGTACCAGTTCTTCATCTGGTTGTTTATTCATTGGGTTTGTCTGTCTCTACTGTTACTCTTTTTAGGGTCACCCCATCAAACACCTTCCTTCCTTTCTCCCACTTCTGGAATACCTTCTCTTCCCAGTTATTTCTCTTCTTTTCCTTTCATCTGGTCCATTCTCCATGTTCCTTTGTTCTGCCAGTTTAGGAATTCAGTGTTGTCCTTCATGTCCTGTCCAGTTCTCTGTTTGAACCCATTGCAACGTGTTCTGTGTACATCTTTCCTTTGAGACCTATTTCCTTCCCCTCTTGGCATGTGGCCATCATTGTTCCAATATTTATGCCATTAATGTTTCCCAGATCCTTTACCATTCCTTGTATGTTATCCACTAATTGGATTGGGCCTTTCTTCCCAGGACATCAGCTGCCCTGGAAAGTTGTTGGGCCTTTTCTCCTATTTTCTTACCTTTCTTTTACCACCTGTTCTCCAGTTCAGATCTTTATCTTCTACTTTATCCAGTTCATTACCTGCTACGTTATATGGCGCATACTGCCTTTTCTCATGGCTCTCATTCCTGTCTCTTTGTTCCATGATATTCCTCTGTTTCCTATAATCTTTTCACCTATTATGCTCATTGGTTGGATTTGTCAATTCAAACGACTGGTGTATTCTGACGTGTTTGTGGATGATTGCCATCTACATCATGTTTCTTCACACCAAAGTTGTCATCTAACTATGTCTTCAGCTGCTCACAACCTCTGTCTTTTGGAGAAGATCATTCAGACTGGTATGTGGACAACTCCCAATATGTTTGTCACTCTTTATCTGCACAACATAGATGTATTTTCGTCGAGCAGGTATCGTCTTCCTCCTGTGGTGAATCTACACACGTCTGTTCGCCTTTTTATTATTGTTTTTTACATTAATTCATTAATATATATCATATTTCAAGATCCCACTTATTGGTGGGTGTTGCCTGGTCAGGTATGTTGAGTATTATATCTTGGCACAATGCTCACTGTGAAAATAGGGTGTTTCTGTAAGACCACCATCCACTTATCTGTTGGTGTGTATATATATATATCTGTATATTTTTGTTTATTATTATTATTGTATCATGCATAAAGGACCATTACTCATGGACTTCATGAGTAAAGCAGATGGGAATTTTTGCCCATCCCTACTGACTCATGATTCTTACAATCGGGGTCTTTCTGCTTTTCAAATTAGGGAATTGCAGACACCCATTACACTGTCTCCAGCGTGTTCTTCCTCCAGACTCCCTATTGCATATTTCCCTCCCCCTTTTCTTCTAGTGGATTACAGGAGTCTTTGTCACTTCTGGCTCCCAGTCATTGGAATAGTGGACTATAGTGGTTTCTTCTGGAGTGGGATTTGTACGATAAAACAAACTTCATAGTCATATGTACCCAATCTATGAGAAGAGGGCTATCATCATTATATTTTATATTATACAGTATCATAATATGCTCAATTCAAGGTGCTTCTCCCAGATGCTCTTTGCCCAGGTAGACCACAATTGTTGATTATGAATTACGAATTTCTTGCAAGGCACTTCCACTTGATGTTTCTGCCTGAGCAGACTCCACTTGTTGATCTCTAAATATTTTACATTCAAGATATAAAATGATCAATTGTATGCAAAGCACTTCCACTGGATGTTTCCTGCCCAGATGGACAGCACTTGACATACTCCATAATATCACAATAATATTTCCCCGAATGTTTTACCTGGGCTGACCACACTTGTTAATCACACAATCTGTCACGTACAAAATATGAAAGAAAAATACTATTCAAGGCACTTCCACTGGATGTTTTCTGCTCAGATGGACCACACTCGACATAATCCAGTGTATACAAAGGTGCTTCCCCAGGATGTTTTGTCCAGGGTGACCACACTTGGCTGCCTTAATATAAATCCAAGGCACTTCCCCTGGACGTTTTTTGCCCATGCAGACTGTACTTGTGGATCTTAAAATCTTATGCAAGGCACTTCCCCTGGACGTTTTTTGCCCAGGCAGACTGTACTTGTGGATCTTAAAATCTTATGCAAGGCACTTCCATTGTTGTTTTTGACCAGATAAACCAGACTTCTCATAATCCGACATATCCCAAGGTGCTTTCTCTGTTTGTTTTTTGCCCAGGTGGACCCTAGCCACATATTCCTATATCTGATTCCAGGTACCTACTTCAAATCTGACTATGATTATGTCACGTGCTATTTGTTGTTTACAGGTGGAATCTGTATTACATGACATGGTGCTTGTCTATTAAGTTCTGTTCTATGTGTTTTACTTTGTTCGTTACTTGGCGAAGAGCATACCTGTTCCAGAAGTAGTGCTATACTTCACAGGTGTGCCTCCTTTTATAATTGTGGCACACCTGTTCTTTCACAGCCATTGTTTTCCACTTGTTTGATTACTTTTACACCTTCACCGGGCCCTCCACCTTTGCAATGTGGGATTCTAGCTTTGGGTGAGTGGAAGTAGTACTGTTTCAGGAGTTAACATTTTATAACACTGAAAATGTATTTCCGATAGGTACTTACCTTCGTTAACCCACTTCCCACCCTTCCTCCCCATTAATTTCTCATTGTTCCTGGTTTGTATCTGCCAATCCTCAGAAGTGAGGATTGTGCTGCAATGGTAGAGGGAGTTACCTGCACTAGTATTGGTGGCAAAATATGATTGGTGAAGGATAGTCACATGATCTGTACATGTTTCTACAATGGTGCAAAAAACATAGGAGTATAAAAGACTGATGCACTGTTGAAAATTTGAGGGCAAATGAAGGTCAAGATAGCTTTGAGTTAGAGGAGGTAAGTACCTATCGGAAATATATTTTCACTATTAGAAAATATTAACTTTTGTATTCATTACTCAAATTTATAACAAAATCCTTTCATTGTTTGTCACTATGCATACAGCCTGTATCATCAACTAGCTACAGTTTACAGTCATTATACTATAATATTGCCTTTGATTCAAAGTCCTGTTTGTTGCCTGTATAGGCATATGTTTTTATGTAAATTGCAAACATCTGCACAAAGCAGAAAGATAACAGTTCTTCCCAAAACAGTTGTTGGTGTGGCAAGCACATGCAACAATATAATTAGGCTAATTTTACATTAAAATTGTCATTGACTTTGTGTGCATTGATAAGTTATTGGCCAAGGCCTAACTTGATAATATGCACTTTAACTGATTTTTGAGTTACTTGTGAACTTTAGATTTGGTTATTTGTTAGCATTGTGTCAAGTGAGCATATACTAAGGTAATTATAGAACTGAGTTTGTGGCCTTTATTATCTAAGTACCAACTTAAATATAGTTCAATTTTATCTTATGTACAGTGTTATCTATTTATTTATTTTTTGTTGTTATTTTTTTATATACTGATAGGCCTATACACTAGTTGTTTTGGCAAAGTTCTATGTTATCAACCACTAGAGTTATCTTTTATATAGAGTCTACTATCCATTTATTTTATTGATTCAAGCTTTGCTGTTTTTATTAAATTGTTTTATTACAATGTATCTAAAGTAAAATTTATACAATTATACATTTGTGCTTTTAAGGCTTTAAAAAGTTGTTCAAAGATGATAAGTTTTCCTGGCACCACTGTTACTGCTAGTGATGATCCTTCTGCTTCTTGCATCTGTCTTAAACCTCGAATAAACTTAGCTCTGGATGCACAAGCTAAGGAAGAATACAGAAAAACTTCTTAAAACAGCTTACTTGCTAACTGTAAGTAGACAGCCTCTGTCAGCATTCAAAACTCTACTTAAAGTGTAAAAACAAAATGAGGTACAATTGATTTCAAATTTTGATAATGCCAATAGAGTGGAATAATTCATTAACATTATTCTATTAGCTGTAGCTGAAACTAGGAGGTACATGTATTTCTCTGCTTTCCGTCACCTTTGAATACATCATCAATGCTCGTCTTTAGATTACTTGGATTTGTATCTCCAAACCTATCAATGTCCTGTAAGGCAACACAGAAATAAACTGGTATACCTTGCTTAATTTTCTTATGAAAATCAGTTCTTTTTCAGAGCCAGTTTTTCTTGTCTCACTTCCATCACTAAACATTGCAAAAGCTATTGCTGAACATAAAATCACTGCTACTTCTCACGAATGGTTTCTGCAGCCTCTGTTAATACTGGAGTTTAGAATGGATTGCTAACAAAACTGAAAAATGACAAATCCTTTGGCCTCTAGGCATTCACTGCATTTCCCAAAGAGCTGTATTACTATTGAAAGATAGTGTATCTGAATCATCTACTCATGTGAAAGACTTCATGACAACTACATATTACTTATTCAAATGATCTTCAAAGTTCAAAATGTACTTTGAGAGAACTGCCAGTGCATTTGTTG